ATTTTTTTATGGACTACAGAAAATACTAAATTAATTTTTTCGGGTGTAAATATTATCCATGAACAGTATGATGAATAGTAGCCTCTCTTTTTTTCATCTGAGAAAAAAAATTGTAAAGATGAAATCTTCTGCTCTTACGCCAAATTTTTTTTGTTCGTGTTGTTTCGACAAATTTTCGGAAGAAGACATGAAGAAATTTTGAATTGTAGGAGAAAAATTACCCAAATTTCGGCTCTGATACCAAATTTGATGCAGCACCAAAAGGAACACTCAATGGAGAATAAAAAAAATCAATCAAAGGGAATAAGAAATCTGGGGAAGAGATGGTGAAATAAGAAAACAATAGAAGAGGGAGAAGAATAATGGAGGAAGAGAGGGAAAATTGCCACAAGCCACTAAATACTTTTATTCAATCATCAACTTAATGAAATTACATGGCAAATTAGGTTTAAACAATAAAGACAAAACCTTAACTAGATCGGACTTGGGCCAATCAAGCCCAATTACATAAATAAGAAACAAAAATAAAATCCAACTCGAAATTTCCAAATAGAAATAAATAGAAATAGATGTCCTCATCACTCGGGTTTACAAATATTAGCATATTCTTCTGTTGTGGAGGAGGTCTGGGTCTATCCTGGCTACCCATAGACAAATCCAGTATCTAGTCAGCGTGACACTATTCCCATATTTTAAGTGATGAATGAGATTTTTCCCTCTTATTTTTGAGCATATCATTCTATTTCAAGATTATGAACAAGCTTGGACAATTCTCCTTCCTTGAAAATAATATCCATTTGACCACAACCCATGCTTCAATATCTAAATTTTTACTAGCAAAAATAAAATTTTCGTATGAAAAAATAATTGGCAAGGCAGCAAGATTAGATCCTAATCGGCATTTTACCTCTGTGGATAAATTCCTTGATCCCAAAGCATCTATTTATCAAAAGTAAATTTTAGAGAAAAACTAGGATCATAAACTAGGAATTTTAGAGAAATTCCTGGATCCCAAAGCACCTAAGAGGGATGAGAACGACATTGCTATCAGGAGTATGTCCCTCTTGACTTGTTCTCGTGACTTAAACGCACTTGTATATATTTATAGATATGGGCTTCCCACGTTTAGAGAATTTTAGGTTTTCTTGTTTCTTTTTTCATATTTGTAGGAGATAGTACCTCTTCATTACTGCTTTCAATTTTTATTCATTTGACTAGAGGATAGGTATATGTCCTCTTTGTCGTACTCATTTATTTATATTTATATTATGGCAAGAGAATCTTAATCTCTTCTATCATGTCTTGGTGGAACCTAAAATCACGTGACATTTATGATGCTACTTTAGTAAGAAAAGACAAATCTCCAAATTCCCTTAGTCAGTTAGAGCTAATTTTACTGTCTAGTCTATTGGTTGATCTTTACTTTGTCGAAAATACCTTCATTCGGTACTATCCACCATGGAAGAAACAAACATGAGGTTTAACAAAAAATTCTAATCATGCTTAATTTTGAATTTAATTAACTAGATCAAGAATCCTAAACATTCAGCCAACATTTACTTCATTTAACTTGAATAATTAGATTACTACACTTAAATCAAGCACTTCCCATGCATAAAATTCAAATTCAAATTCAAATTCAAACTAATAATGAAAGAAATCCTATAAGTCCTCATTTGACTTCGACTTTGACCTATTAATTTTTTAATTTGACTAAATAGTTTTTCTTTCACTAGTACAGAATAGGATGTGACAATGTGCACATACCTAGAGTGGAAAAAACAACATTCATCCTAAAAGTTCAATTTATAGATCAAATGGATCAAGAACAGGAACATGAGATCTACGAATATATTCAAGAGATTGTTTATCTTGTCCTACTATTGAAACTAATGACATATCTGCTTGTAAAGTCATTATCCAAATGTAAATTTAACTTCCAATGAGAACTCATTAGGCACTGAATGCGTGTAATTGATCTCGTGCAAGAAGAAAAATATTAACGTTATGCCTTAAGTCCAATTGTTGAGATGACATAATGACTTTACAATTTATAAATAACTTAATATAAATTATCCCTAGTCGTTAGTAACTAAGAGACACGGATATTGTAATTAGGGAAACACCAACGTGTATTGTATTATTTTTTATGAAGAGAGTAGTTGATCTCACAAGCTAAAATGTGAAGAGATTTGAATTGATATGTGGATGAGCTGTTAGAGAATAGTTTATTGGATGACCTACAATAGAGATTTTTGCATGAATAACTATCTTAGTGTCAGTAGAAATCTCTAAACTTAGGACTATGATTTGGTTCTCTGATTTCATCTACCAAAATTGAGAGATGAATTCCTCGGCAGTGGTGGAATAATGTGTTCAAAGAGGTTTCAATTACATCTTATGTCAACGTGTCATAACACATGACATTTTCTATCATATGGGTTGCGTTGACATATTGCTGGATGTCAATCATGGATGACGATGTGAGTTAATTAATTTAGGTGAACTAATGATAAAATAAATATAGAATTTTGATTTATCTTATTCTTATGAGATCAATAAAATAATGTTATGACATTTTTCATCGTGAATAAGAATCTAATGGGTCAAATACAAACGACGAGAATTGGGAATTTGAAATTGGACCTAATCCAAGATAGCGGTTTTAAGTATTAGTCCTATGCACAATTGTTTGGTGAACTTAATAACTACTACTAGACCTTTTGTATTGGTCTCAATTTAATTAATTAGGTCGGGCCCAATTAGGTTTAGCCTTTACTAATCCCTAATAGTAATAGAATTTGTAATAACCTATAAATACATGGCATATGTTTAGAATTTTATTGCTTTGTCTTGATTATATGATAACACAAAAAAAGAGCCAAAAATCTTTATTATTATTTTCCTAAAATCCGACCATTCTTGTGGGAATGTAATTTCAAGTTTGTTCTTTCTGTGTAGATTATTATTGAAAGTTGGACATCTATGGCATAATAAGATCATGTTGGATCATATCTGTTATCTTCGATGGTATAATCTTTTCCACAGATTGTTTTTGAACACAAAGGTGATCCTGGTTTGGACGTTGAAATTATTTAACTTCGACATGCATGCTTAAGTAAATAACTAACAAGTTTTGCATAATTTTGCTATAACAAGAACATTTTTAATTGAGTATGTTGAACCAAATGTTAAATATTATCAGTGTCCATTAATGATAAATTGTAGATCAAATAGCCAAATAAAAAAAATTAAGTGCTATCATATAACTTTGTACCAACTATATGATGTAGGCTTGAACCATTATTATATGTCGCGTGGTAAACAACAGTATCTCAAACAACCAACTCGTCTTCCACTGAAGCCAACAATAGAATAAATCTCTGCTAAATACAATTACAAATTTCATCTACTTCTCAAATCTAACTAGAATTCTTTTGTTTACGAAGGTTTCACCTACAGGAGAACAAGGAATAAAGGGCTCTTCCTCCTTTCACTTGACTCATTAGTGTCATGAACGTCGATTATAAAAAGGAGTGATCTCTCTCCTACTACTAATTATTGCCTAACTTAGAACATATTGTTTATGCATTCCACTTACTACATTCGGTTCTATGGATGTCAAATCCGCCTTTAGGATAATCTTGTAGTATAGTTGCAACATCCTATCCAAAATCTTGTGTGCGTTTGTTACTTATATACTTGCCGGCCCATGTGAGGGTGAGGCTACTCAAGAGCCATGTGGTTGGCCTATTTCAAATGGTATCAGAGTGGGCTCAGACGAATATTGTGTTCTTGGTTGCAGGAGATCAATGAAATGCGTTCTTACGAAAACGATTTTGGGGCTGCGAAATATATAGGCAAAAGGGTCGGCAAGTGAGCAGAATTAATGAGGAAAGTTTTGGAGATGATGGAAGCTAAAGGCAAGCATTGTGCGATTGAGCCTATCTACATGTCCATTTGTTTTGTAAAGCACAGTGAATATTTTAGAGGACTTGTATTGGTACTTCGACATGCGCAAGAATGCTGTGGTAGATGTTGTCAATCCGACGAATGTGTGAGGAGCATAGTGCAGATGCCCATCCATCACTTGGTATTGCCGCAGTTGTACGTACAAAATTTTCTTAACCAACCGCCTGGAGGATGCATGTGAGGGTTGTTCATTAATATTGAGGTACATGGTTCGTTACGAGGGCATTAGTGAATTGGATATAGAAGCTAATCACATGACTAGCAAAGTCTCCTACATGTGTGGTGTGACAAGATTGCTAATAGACGGTTGTACATTCTATATTACCAAAAGGTGCCCTAATATTGTGTATATTGTCTTTTGTTTATGCTTGCCGAAGCTGCCATTGAGCCTTGCAAGACCCTGGGTGGACGTGCATGCAATCTATTTCACAATTTATAGGTGGAGATGATGAGGTAGTTCATGAATTTTCTTTGGGTTTTTTTTGCCACATTTCCCTCAAAGTGTTGAAACAAGATAATGCTATTGTATATAAACATTTACATAATATGGAAATAACATCCAATTTAAAAATTCAATTGATGACGAACACTTAT